AAAACATAATCTATAGTTGTGAGAGTGACACTGTTAGAATTTGTTATTGTGTGTAGTCCTTGTTGATGTGCATGTAAAATAAGTAGGCTATTTGATTTTTGATTGCTTATTTTTTCCTGTTCTTATTGCTATTATTTTCTAGTTGCTGTTTGTTGATATTATTACCTAATGGAGTGTTAAGCATGTGGAAAAATGTGTGAGAGAGGAAGGAAGGAAGGAAGGAAGGAAGGAAGGAAGGAAGGAAGGAAGAAAGAAAGAAAGAAAGAAAGAAAGAAAGAAAGAAAGAAAGAAAGAAAGAAAGAAAGAAAGGGAAAGAAAGAAAGAAGTGAAGAAAGAAGGAGGGAGGGAAGGAGAGAGGAAAGGAGAGGAAAGGAAAAAGGTGAACCATATTTGGAGGTAGAGCCTATAAAGAACTTATCTGGTTAAAATGAGCCACTCTGCCACAAGCAAGGTGCCTATACACAGAGAAACGACCAAACTGCCAACAGCCAGGCAAAGCCAGAAGCCACAGGGTGGGTGGCCCTAGTACTGAGATCATCTTCACTGCTTTCCCAGGAGATTCACAGAGAGCTGGATTACAAGTACAGCAGTCATATGGTATGCAGACATCACTGGTAACTGCTAAACCAGACATGCCACAATGTTTGCTTCAACAATTTTGTTTTCAATTTTAAAAAGTTATTTTTTCTATTGTTTTATATGTGAACATTAAAAAATTACATAAAGGCAGGCAGACTTCTAGCATAGCAGACTAAAATACCACTGAGTCGCCAACATCCTAGGTTAGGGTGCTTGGGTTCCAACCTGGCCTCTGCTCCTGATTCCAGCTTGCTGCTGATGCTGGAAGACAATGGCAGGCGATGGCATAAGTGATCGGATCCCTGCTCCAATATGAGAGATGCAGATCAGTTTCTGTCCCCTGCCCATTCTGGTTAGTATAGGTATTTGCAGGAGACTATCTATCTCAATAAACCAAATATATAAATTATTTTAAAATAAAGCCAAAATTAAAGTAAATTTATACCTATCAGCTAAAATAAGCTACCTATCTCTGAGCTGGAGCCAGGACTAGGTACACATTGGGTTGCCTGTGCAAACTACTAAGCAAAGAATAAAAAAGACATCAAATTCCCGTTGGATCAGAACTGAGCCCGTAGACATTAACATATGCATGAAAATGTATATTTATATTATATTTGAATTTACATTATATTAGTTCACTATTCAGACATGGCTGAAAGTACTTAACGGTTTAATTTTAGAAAGAAGTTACTACAACTCAAGAGTCAACCACACCTTTAATCAGTCTTCTCATTCATTTTTCAAGATAAGCAACCTTGACCAAATTCCCCAAGCTACCCAATCCTGCTTTCCTCATCTTTAATATGCTCAGAGTAATAACCACCTTCACCATCTGGTTGAAAATAATAAATGTAATTACATATGTATAGTGCTTAATGACAATAACATTTACATAACACGGGCTATGTGCCAGCCTCTGGACTAAGCTCTTGACTTACATTTAATGAACTTGGGATATTTTTCACAATGACTTTTTCACGAAGATGCTATGACTATAATTATTTCACTGCTGAGGCAGCTGAGAGGCTGGGATGGCATGTCTTCTTCCATTATTACACACTTAGTAGGTGCTGCAACAGCATTCAGATCCAAGCAGCCGGATTCCAGAGGCTGCCCTTGTGTCTTTGTGGGAGGCCTGTCCCTGAATGGCTAACTACACACAGCAACCAATATCCTATAATTGTCATGTTTAAAGATTTCTTTATTTTGAAAGAACTACAGAGAAAGAGAGGGAGAAAAAGACAAGGAGAGAAAACGGATCTATCCCATTGGATATCACTCCTTAAATGTGTATACAATGGCCAGGGTTGGTTGAGACTGAAGCCAGGAGTCCAGAACCACATCTTGGTTTCCCAAGAGTGGCAGGGAACTAAGCACCTGCTTCCATCTTCTGCTGCTTTCCCAGGCACATGAGCAGGGAGCTGGATCTGAAGAACACCCAGGATGCCGACTGACACTCCCATAAGGATGTTCTCTAAGCAGAGGCTTAACTTGCAGTGCTACAATGCTGACCCCCCCATCCCTTTTAATTTTGCCTTATTTTATTTGTCTTTATTTTAAAAGAAACAAATTAAATGTAATCTCTAAATAGGAATATTTTACAAAACTAAATGAATCTGAGATTTAACTTAGTTTTTTACATAACAATTATGTTTTTACAACACAAATTTCTGCACTGAAATACATCCCTAATGTACATGAATTCAAATAATGCTGTGAATATAGAAGCTAAAAATGCACACCAAAGATCACAGAAAATCAGGGCATATGCTTAATGGATGAAAAGTGTTGTTTTGATTTTACAATACTATATAATGTCAGAGTCATTTGAAGCAAAAACATTTGTAATACAGAATATAACAAAATACTGGAACAATCTGTTTTTTTAATCTGAATATTATCTAGAAATATAATCAGAGTATATGAGAAATCTGACCACTTGGTGAACTTTTCCCTCTTCTTTGAGTACAAGGAATAAGCCACCGTGCAGACATTGAAGAATAGTAAGCCAATCATGAATCAATTGGTGTCCCCATGGCAACCATTTTGCCAGCTAAGGAAGCAAACAGGTGAAGAAGGTAAGGTGGGAGGTGTACTCAGGGGAGCAGTTACTGTACGGCAAATGCCTGAAGGCTTGGAAAGTGAGGTAGACTATAACCCACACTTTCCTTGAATGCAAACACACAGGGGTTTCAACAACTATATGGGACATGGAACCCCTCACTTTACAATTCACTGGAGCTGGGAGATTTGAAAGATCATTGTGTGTTTGTGTATTTATTTATTCTGAAAGGAAGGCAAAGAGAGACAGAGTTCTCCCCAAATACTAACATCAACTGAGGCTAAGTTAGGCCAAAGCCAGGAGCTAGAAACTCGATTCATGCCACCGCGTAAGGAGCAGAACCCAGCTACTCCAGTCACCACCTGCCGCCTCCAAGAGTGTACTCCCAGGGGAAAGCTGAAATCGGCAGAAGAACCCCTGGGACAGAAGCCCAAGTGGTCTAATAGGGGATGTGGTGTCCCAAGTAGCTCCTTAACTGCTGGGTAAAATGCCTGCCCCAATCTTACAGGTTTAAATGTTTACATGAGAATGTTTAAATGTGATTAGATCTGTTACAGAACTTGTGTCGAGAAGGCTATAAAAGTTGAATTAATGAATCTGGGCAAAAATAAAAATGCAAGTTCAGGAAGTACTGTCACAGGAGAGACATTGTCCATGGACTTTCAAAAACAGGAATTAAGGGTTCCTAACTCTGTCTGAGACTTCAGTCCTTCTTTCGTCCTTCCTTACATTGTCAGTACTTACATCTCACATGTTATACTTATTACTAACATAGCCAAAATCAGCTCACATTAGCATTATTGTGATCCTGCTTCCTAACAGGGAAATTGTATGCTTTGCATGCATCACCTGATGGTTTTAGTGGTAAGGAATCTGAAACACAAAGAGTCGAAGCAACTTGCCCTAAGTCACAGCAGGTCAGCAGCAGAGAACAGATCCAAATCTTCTTATCTGAGTCCAGTGCTGGTGCTCTAAGTTATTACTCGCTCACTGCTGCTTCCTTTTCCTTCTGGTCTCACCCTCCTTAACTCCAGGCCCTCTTATCTGACTTAATCCTCTTGTCCTTTCTTAAGAGCCCTCCGCTTCATTTGTCCTGTGCATGCCGTTAGAAGCACAGGAGTTACGTTGCCTTCATAAACTTCTTTATCAGCCTCTTCACATCATGATCTTCATTGTCATGACAAAATAAAGCTATCTTCCTAATGCCTCAACATGTATTCCAGATCCAATTTAAACCAAGTATGAAGACTTCTGCCTCTGCAGCTTAGCAACAGTCTCATTCCACACAGCCACCACACACCACCCTTCCCTGCTGAACCAGTTCCTTTTTCCATTTCTGCTTCTGCAAAGGCTCTATGCAAAGGATCTGTTATCATCATTATCATTATCATTATTTACTTATAATCTAAGTCTTTGGCCCAGCTCCCAGACCGCATGCGCTAAACTCCACAAAGGGTTTGGATTTCCTTGTTCAAGCCATTAATACCATGTATTTGAGCTGACAATTCCATTAGAAGCCTATGACCAATCACATAAGGAAGGGAACCAGGTGGGCTCAGTGGCACTTTCCTGAGGCTCTTTTCTTAAAGTCTGTCTACTCAAGTTGCTAAGGGGCAAGGACCTCTGTTACACACTGCTGTGAGCCTTCATTGCTGCTGTGATGCAGCCAGCACACATTCCATTAGCCAACAACGCTCCAGGCTCCAGGCTAGCAAAGACCCCGTCCTCCTTAGGTCAACAACAAGGCTTATGGGACACTCCCAAGATGATACACAGCTGACACCAAGTGCCAACAAGTTTCCTACAGCCCCATCCTACAAACGATCTGAAGCAGTTCACTTCTCATCTCCAGTGTTCCTTCCAGCTTGCCAAAAACGCAACCGAGTTAAACAAGCAAAACCAACGTCCCAAGGTCACCTCTGCTCCCTCACAGTCCCTCCCTGAAACTCGGCTGATGGGATCTCAGTAATTGAGGGGCAAAAGAAGAGCGTCTCGACCCTGTTTGGGCGTCTGTCGTTGTTGGTTGTTTGCTGGTTTTTGTTCGTGGCACAGTCCAAGCTCCCAAGTCTCTCTGCTGCCTTCTTTCCGCTTGTTCTTCAGAGCACGGAGCAAACTGCTTCAGAAACAAACTCTTCTGCTGCTCGGTAGCTCACAGTCCCACGTGAGAGGGGGCCGCGATCCTTAGACAAAGACTGCCGGGCGCTGCAGAGCTTCCAGGGGCAGGTGACAGGGCCGTGGCTTTCCCTTGCGCTGGTTTGACAGTTTCATCCCCGCCCACTGGCAGGAGGGCGCCCGGCCAAGCTGCACACGCGCGCGCCGGGGGCCATAAAAGCTGCTGCTGCTGCTGCTGCTGCTGCTGAGCTGGGACTCGGAGCTCGCCCACCCGCAGCTGGAGCAGCCGCTTCACCATGCACGTGAACGGCAAAGTAGCGCTGGTGACCGGCGCGGCGCAGGGCATCGGGAGAGCATTTGCAGAGGCGCTGCTCCACAAGGGCGCCAAGGTAGGAACGTCTGCCTGCCCACCCACCGTGGGACCAGCCCCCGCCATCGGAGGGTCGCCGCACCCCGGGGGGAGAGGGGTGAGGAGGCACCGAGGCTGTGCCCAGCGTGTCCACCTTGCCACTTCCTAAAGTTGCCTCTGTTGAACAGATCTCGAAAGCGCCCGTGAAGTAATTGCTGTGTTTAGGGTCCAGGAGGGGCGCGTTCGCCTAAGCACTGTTTGTCCCAGGCTACCCATTACCGAGCTACGCCGAACCTCCATTCCTTCCTTCCCTCTCGTCTAAAGGTAGCGTTGGTGGATTGGAATCTCGAGGCAGGTGTCCAGTGCAAAGCAGCCCTCGATGAGCAGTTCGAACCCCAGAAGACTCTGTTCATCCAGTGTGATGTGGCTGACCAGCAACAACTTAGAGGTAAGACAGGAGGAATCAATGCATCAACTGGGAACAGGTTAGGGAAGTGCCACAACCTGGGGACAGCCTGGCTTGGCCGGAGAGTCTCGGGTGCCCACAGCCAGCGGCAGCGCTACCTGCTGGAGAGGGAGCTAGCAGAAATAGCTTGGATGGTAGGGCCACCCACTGCCGGCGCCAGAGTCTTTTCATTTTAGTCGTTTGGTAGTACATAATGCAATCAAAGCCCTCTGTGTAGTCAGAAACACTGCTGCTGTAGTCATTATTGAATTACTGAAACTACATACAGTACATGCAGGGTAGGCTTAAGGACTGTGGCAAGAACTTCTCCCAGAAGGTTTAGACAGACATTCGGTGAAGTGGGGGCTGTGTTGCTCTGGGCTGGAAAGACTTCCAGGGAAGTGGGGGCAGGGTTGTTATGGTTTTAAGTTATCCCATGTTGGGGACATGGCCAGATGTTCTTCCCCCTATCCTATGGTATTTTAAAATAACAACTGTAATGATGATACAGTATTAGAATTGCGGAAGAAAAGTCTTTATCAGCCCTTCCTCACTGCCTTCCTGTTTCTGTCTACTCACTTAAAATAGAAGGAGACAAAACTGACAGTGATAATAACTTTTTCCTCGTGAGGATTCCCTAAAGGTTTGCATCAAAAATCATCTTTTTCTTGGGGAAAATAGGAAAATGAGTATTTGAGTCTCACAGTTTTATTAAGAATACCAGGGATGTTATTAGGTTCGTTTTTAAACAAGAGGTCAGAAAAATTGTTTAAAAATCATTTTGATGCTCTTTGTCTTAGAATGACACCAAATTGTGAATTTCCTTTAAGACTGTGAAATACTTTATAAGAGACTACAAAAGAACTAGTATACAGAAAGGAGCACACCTAACAGTTAAGAAAGTTTGGCTTAAAGAACATTATATAATTAGAATCTGGAATTGCTGATCAAAATCTATAACCTAGAAACCTAGATTCCAGTAATGAAAAGAATACAGTTCTGTACAAAATATGTTGCCAAAGGACAATTACGTAGATTCCACATAGCACTTTGGATCAAATATTAAATCATGTCAACTCCTTTTGCCAGAAGTAGACAATGTAGATAATCTAAAGGCTGTTTCTATCTCAGTATGTATAGTCTCACAGGTGAAAACTGTCGGAGTCCCTATTGTTCAGCTTCCCAGTATTGAAAATGAGTGCCCTTGATGTAGACATGTTCTGTAACGACACATGATTGTGGAGGAGGAAATTCAGACACATAGTAAGGGACCATGAGGGGGCATAGCGGTCACGAGGCATTCAGGCTTGTCTGGACAGTCAGCATTTATGTGCACTGAAGGAAAACAGCACTGAATCTTGCTGCTTTGGGATTAAATTCAGCCTATAACTTTGAAAACTGCTACATTCAAATTCTGCAATGCAAGGCAGAAAAGATTTTTTGGGACAATCTAAGCATAAATCATTCTATAGAATAACAAATTGCAACACAGAGAATTTAGGTAAATTATTAAGAGTACCATATAATATAAATGTCAGCAAGCATTAGACAAGGAGTTACTTGAGCCCAGCTCAATGTCATGTTAGAAAGAAGATGTGTCACACACTAATCAAGGCATAGGGCAGGAATGTAGTGGAAACCAGAATGAAAAAATTTTAAAGAAAAATTATACATCCTATGTAACAAGCTGATTTCCTATAAAATAAGGCTGTTTCTGTGGCATAAAGAACTGAGGAATACACTTGGGATGAAATGAGAAAAGAAAAACAAAAATTAATATTCCCTGGATGAGCTTTTCTGGAGCCAATTTAAGGCCTTGGGAAATAGCTTTTAAGCTCCATGAAATAGTAAACAGGTTTTTAATTGTTATTTTTCCTTCCAGTATGGTGAATGTGAAGGACGCTTTAGTAGGTCTTGACAATGTTTTAAGCGAGTATCTTGCATACAGATTCATCTACGTTGGAACTGATTAATCCATGCCTTTCCAAATTATGTTTGGCAATTGTGAACAATTCTGTTAATTTAATTCAATCAAAATTCACTTTGCCTTAATCTACTTTATTTGAGGAACTCGTGCTATGTTAGCCTGGAAGCATTTGTGTACTATGAAAGAATAACCATAATCATATTCTATAGTTTCAAGTGATAGAATAGAAATAAATAATAAGGGTTTTATGGAAATTTAAAATCAAAAGACCCAAGTGAAAGGCTGTTGTGAGAAATAAAAAGTTTCTCAAAACTAAGATAGGAAATCCTAATTTGAACAGTCTAAGGATTTTGCAATGATTGGATGTCTGATCAGACCGCACAAGTAACATTTAGGCCTCAAATTTATGTAAACATTTTCCTGGTTGAGCATAACTTATAAATTAACCAGGAATATGCAATAGTAATACTAGTAAAAATGAGAGGGGAAAATGAAATAGTAAGCATTAAAGTCTTACTAATTGAATCTACTGAATGAAGTATACTTTTAATCCATAGAAAGTCAAGACTCCCTGGGATGGTCTTAGTGGATCTGAACCCAAAAAAAGACTTGTGCTAATATAAAATTTCATCCAACATAGTACCACTTAGTAAGAAAGTAATTTGTCATAGTCTGAGCTACAAAGCTCCATAACTCCTTTGATAGAAAAAGAAGTGGGCTGGCCAAGCTGGCATCCAAGAGCTTAAGGTGCTTCCGGTCTCTAAAATTTATTCCGCTATTATTCATGGAACTTAAATGTACATGTAGACTACGTTAAGTTTTTCATTCAGTAGATTCATGATGTCTGCAAAATTCTGCGTTTCTGGCAAGCTCTCAGGAGTTGCTATTTGATGCTCCTGGGCTGCAAACCACACATAGGGAAGTGAGAATTAGTCACAGCCTGCAGGTGTAATTTTCACTGTGAGGTCAGATAAATAAAAACTAATTTCATAGCATAGTTTATAATTTAAATGTATAAATGGAAAATAGAAATGCATTCACAATATTGTTTTTTTCCCCCTAATTAGAGACTTTTAGAAAAGTTGTAGACCACTTTGGAAGATTGGATATTTTGGTCAATAATGCTGGAGTAAACAATGAGAAAAACTGGGAAAAAACTCTGCAAATTAATCTGGTAAGCTAAAGTCATTTAATAATAACATGATGCTTGTAATTGAAGTGTAAAATATTATATTAAGATGTAAAATATTCATAGAAACAGAGCAATGACCTACATTCAACAAAACAATGACCAACACTATAAGAAAATGGAAGATGCAGAGAGCTTAAAAGATGCAAGCATTTCTTTTTATAGTAAGGAAGACATTCAAAACTGGTAGTTATAAAGTAAACCTGTTTTAAAATATTTTAAAAATATGAACAAAATCATTGACTGCTTACTCAGATGTTGGCACAATAAAATACATGAATTAAAGTAGTCTGCCATCTGTTTTTTGTTTTGGCTTTTTTTTTGAGAATTATTTTTCATTTATTTGAAAAACAGAGTTTCAGAGAGAAAGGGAAAATAGAGAGAGCTTGTATCCATTGATTCGCCTCCTAGATGGTCATAATGCCCAGGTCTGGACCTGACCGAGGCCGTAAGCCAGGATATTCTTTTGGAACTCCTTCATGTGTTCAGGGACCCAAAAGCTTGGGCCATCTTCTGCAGCTTTCCCAGATGCATTGGCAAATTGCTGGATGTGAAGTGGAAAAGCTGGGACATGAAAAACCATCTCTCTCTCTCCCTCTCTCTCTCTTTTTTATATGACTTGCAAGGTAAAAGTAGTTTCGACATTTTTAAATGACTGAAAAGATCAAAATAAGATTCATATGAAATATATAAATATTTGAAATTAGCATTTGACATAGTTTTATTGGAACACAGCTACACTCATTGTTTACATACTGTCAGAGGCTGCTTTCACATCACAGTGGCAGAGTTCAAGAGCTGTGACAGAATCTCAATGCTATGTATTACATAAAATATTTACTATCTGATCCTGTAGAAACGCTTGTTAATCCCCAACTAAACTTATTTATTTGAAAAGTAAATCATAATTAACTTCTATGAATGTCACAGAAAACAAGGTTGAAATGGCAAAATTTGTAGTTAGTAAAAAATTTTGACTGCAAATTGTTACTTGTATGTAACGATTTGTACTCAAATTGTTACTTGTATGTAACAATTTGTACTATAAACTTAAGTCGCTTTCCAAAACCACCTAAAAAGACTTTTTATTGGTCAAGCCATAGCAATCCAAAGTTCCCATAACATTTGATAGATATTTATTTAGTTTTGCACATCGCATTACAAAGTTGTTGATGATTTCCTTTTATGAACACTCTTAATGTAACAGAATGGAGTTCAATAGGACTTAAACCTTAGAGAAAACAAAATGCTTGATGGGTTGTCATGGGGTTATGCTGTCCTTAGCAAGGTCATTCTCACTAGTCCTGTAAAGTAGGCAAGTCAAAGTATGATGTGCTACTGTGTATATATAAATATACAGGGAGTGGCTCCTACTTCATGATATATTTCCAGGAATTATAAACCTCATAAAAACAAGAACCATGATGTTTTTCTTGTTACTCTCTGAATTATCAACACAATATCTTGAAGATAATGTTTGATCAGTAAGTTTTTGACTTAAATTAAAACCTCCATGGGTAGCTGCCTCATCATAACAACTGGTGAAGTAATAGGAATCATATGACCTCACAAGGAAAGCTGAATCTAAGAGTCTTCTTGAAGGTGCAAAGTTGTTCCCAAACTTGATGGATTCTGAAATGCCTTTAAGAACAAAACATGTTGTTTCATAGCATGAAAACTCTCCCCCCAAGTCTCTTCAGTGTCTCTCTCATGTTCTTGAGTCATCATATTTGGAAAATATCTTTAAAAATTATTTGCCGAGTTTTCCTCAAAATCTTCCTGGAATTTGAATTGTAAGCATGAACACATTTGGGAAGGATTTGATGGCTTTGTTTTTACTAAGACAATTCCATGATTGTTTTTTATACTTTAGCCTTTCGTGTATTAAAATAAAGTGAAATATTTTCTGATCATGAACCATTACATCTTTGGATAAATCATATTTTCTTATCACGGTACCTAGTTTTTATGACACAATTAAGTGTTATTAGTTAGTAGCTGAATGTTAAATTTGTACCTGTGTGTTAATAAATATCTTATAACTGTCTCTCTTCTTGTAATACCTCTATTTGATTTAGGTAAAAGTTGTTCCTTGGCTTGCTTTAATATCCTTGATTGATTAGTTTTATATCTCAAAGGACAAATATCAGCTTATCTAACCCGTATGAAAGTTTTATATAATAAATCTAATGTACTCAGCATGTTTGTTACTGCTGATTTTAAAAAGTATTGGTTTAAAAATATATATCTCCATGTGCTATCTTTGATGTTACCAACTGTTCTGCATTTCTACAATCAAAATTATAACCCCATCATTTTCTTTTGATTCATATATTTCTAGGTATATCTTTCTCTACTCCTTTACTTTCAGAATATAAATAACTTATATGTGAAGTCTGCCTTTTAAAAAAAAAGAAAGAAATCTGCCTCCTGCTGATATGACATCTGCTTTTTAAAAATTTGAATATATTTCCCTTTATGTGTCTGAATTTAAACCATTTACAATTATTTTTATTTTTTATTTTAATAATTATTCTCTGGATTTTGTTCTTATTATTTTATCAGTTACTCCTCAAATCTACCAAATCCACTGAATAATTTTATTTTTTCTATTGCTATCAAACTGTACTTTTAATCTATATTTTTCTCCTTGACTTATTCAGAACTGTGAGTGTTGCAACATTAGGTTTTCTGAGCATAGAACCATATAGGAACTTTAGAAATGTTAAAGAATTTGTTTTCATAATCTTAAGTCACTCTTCAAAACCACATAAAAGAGACTTTTTATTGGTTAAGCCATAGCAAACCAAAGGCACAAATTGCAATTTTCTCCCTTTAGCATAACTGCCAATATATTTAACAGCTTTGTCAGTAGTAGCTACAAACAATATTATAGATTAAGATTCTAATATTCAGCGAATTTCATAATAGACTTACCTACTGTGCCTTTTCTCTGAGAAGTCAGTCGTCACAAATTGTGTGCAATGGTTGGAGTTAAGATAAAAGAAATGTGAAAAGTAGTAAGGGAACTGTCACAGGTACAGGATTTGAATTCTTGGCCTCTAACTAGCTAAGAGGAGACTGCTTTTATGTTGTCTGAGTTGAATAGGTTCATGATCCAAGTTGGAAAGTACCTTAGTAACTCTTCTGAAAATAGGAAATTCTGGATCAGATAAATGTCATTGTGACCTCTCATCCTTGAAAATAACTCTGATAGATCCTTGCCCCATTAACATTAACCAGCCTTTATTTTCTTGGAGCTCTGAGGACATAGGCCACTTCTTGGTTCAACTTTGGGCATTGATAACATTTGTTTAATGTTACACAGAGAAAATAAAACATAGCTTTAGCAAACCATATGTAACTTAAAAATATTACTTCCTCTCCTATTATTATTCCAAAGGTATACCAAACATTGTCCTTTCGGTTTGATTATCTCTGTAAGTATAATGCAAACATTTGTGTTGGTGTACATAATGATTTTATTTTTCAGACTCTGCCCTGCATATAATTTGCCTCTTTGGATCTTATACAATTCTATGTTTGTACTTTAGCATATTTTTCTGTTAGTATGCATGTACAGAGTAACTACTTAAAGAACTTTGCCCCTATCTATCCCTTTCTTGAAATCTTGTACAACATATTTCTACCATTCTCAGAGGACTTGCCAGTTTTACAACTTTTTGTTAGGATCACATTTCTACTTATTTATTTTAATCTAATCAACTGTATGTTCTTCCAATAGGGGACAAAAACGTTTACATCCTTACAGAATAGATCTTCAATGATTAATTTTAGTGGCTATGTTGCTAATAAATGATATTTTGCTTGTATTAGTTATTCATCTCTATGTTTTATGCCATATTTAGGTGACTCTTCTTTAAAAATTAATTCAAGAAAAAAAAAAGATGCATAAAGACAGACGCAAAGATAGTTCCTTTAGTTGGTTCACTCCCCAAATGTCCACAAAACAGGGGTTGGGCTCAAGTTACAAATATGAGTCAGAAATTGAGCTCAGGTCTCCCAGGTAAATGGCAGGGACTCAATTACTTGAACCATTACCTACTGCCTCTCACGGGTTTACATTACCAGGAACTGGAATCAGAGGCCAGCACCCAGACTGTACTTAGGCACACTGATGTGGGGTAACCAGCATCTCAAGCACTAGGCCACACACCAACCTCAAGGTAATTCTATAAAATATCAGTGTTGCCTACAGTATCATCTGTTCTTTGATTTCTGCTACTTACCAAACTTATCCTTACTTTAGTCTCCATTCTGATCATCTTACCTCTCTTGCCACTCCAGATACACACTAAACTTCTTGGCATCCTATTGTTTCCACAAGGGATCCTATGCTTTTGTACTTTGTGCAACACCAGCATCAGTGGAATTAAATTACAGCTTCATTACTTAGAGTTCATAGAGAATGTCCAAGAAAGAATGAGTCTGAAAAAATTATCAAAGGTTGCTGGCAATTGGACAGAGCTAGACTTATCTTGGAATACTGATAAAACAATCTTGCACTGTGCTTCTTTAGCTTTTTCATGCTTTAATAAACCTAAATAGTTCATCTCCATTCGGGTGGGATTTGTAATCTAATTTTGATATAACTAGCATAGGTGGTGTTTCAGAATATTCCAGTTTTCTTTTATAATAGACTAATTGAATCAAGGTTTGTGTTGGAAAAGCTATGCATGTGGAAGCATTCAGAACTAGAGTTCAGTCCTGTAACTTTACATGATAGGAAGGGATGAAGATGATAACAGAAAGGTTAAACAAGTAGACTGCTACCAACTGTCCATTTACTTTTATTACTAGAAAACTAGCTCTAGTATAGGACAAATTATGAAGGCATTTTTAAAGTTATATATAGCTTTAATTGGTGAAAAAACAGCTTAAAATGTGGATTACGATTATATTTCAGGTATTGCATTCAGAAGTTGTTTCATGTTACCAAAAGTATAAAGTCATCATGTTAATCAGATCAAAATGCAAGTAATTTTCTAGGTAAAATTCAGTATAAGATCTTTTCTTTGAAAATTTGGTGTAAAACCTTAACTCCTTTCACAAAATGATTTAAGATGATACCATTGATTTCAATTATTTTGTGTTCTTATCTAGAAACATGTATAACCCTCCTTTTGCCCTGGTTACTTGCTATTTTAATGATGCTAACTATAACATATAGAGAATGCTAAAGGACTAAAAGTTAGAGTATAACAGGAAACATTTTTCTATGGAAACCTAACAGTTTTTTCATATATGTATATATTCTCATATAAATATCATTTATGCACAGCCAAAGTATCCCATGAATAGTTTGAGATGCTACTCAGTTTATTATCAAAAACTTAAAAATAAAATTAAATTTTAAGGCAAATAAGATAAAGCTTAAATGTCAGGGAATTTTCCATGTGTCTTCATACCACAGCTTTCCAAAACCAAAAGTGAAAGCGAGCAAAGGTAAAAATACTTGAGAAGAAAAGCGAAGCACCAATACCAGTAAACACAAGTGCTGTTCAGACACGCTGAAGACTTGGGTAGAAACTACCAGAATGTCAGCAATTTCAGCCAGCCCACACTTTCCCCTCTTCAGTAAACAGTTAATGTTTTATTTCATCCTTGTAAAGGGGATTATGTGAGATGTTATTCATTCTCCCTAAGTCCATTAAATATAAAACTGACAGCCTCAGGGTATAGGGAATTCAACGTTCTTTTCTGCTCTAGAACCACTATTAAGTAAGAGAGGCAGCTCCAGTGCTTGTCTCCATGCTTATTACATGGAGAAGAAGTAGAAAGAACATTAAAATAGAATTTCTATTAGAAAAAATAAAGCTATGTAGAAAATCAGTGGTATCCACTATTCTGCATTCTAAGATTCAGAAAAATTTAAGCCAAGTAGGTGAATATGGAATCCTTGGATATGATAGTCATATGCTATGAAGAAGGCTGAATAATTCTTTATAATTCTTATAATTATTCAGAACATAAAAAGAATGTATAGAAAAAGTTCTTGAAGATGTCAAGAATGAGTTACAGGAAGAGCAATGTTATATAGCAGGTGAAGCTGATGCCTATGGTTAGCAGTCCCAGCTGCTCTGCTTCCCATCATTAGCAACTTGCTAATGTGTCTGGCAAGGTGAGATGAAGGTTCATGTGATTGGACTCCTATAGCCTAGGGGGGACACCTGGATAAAGCTCCTGACTTTATCCTGGTCTATCCTGGTCCATCCTGGCAGTTGTGACCAACCAGAGAGTAAGTCAGTGAATGAAAGCTCTCTCTCTGGTGCTCTTTATCTCTCTCTCACTCTCCTTGCTTTCTCTCTGTAACTCTTTCAAATTAATGCATAAAATTTCTAAGAAAAAAAAAGTTGAGGAAAAGTGACAAAACACTATTGAAACATCATCTGTAATGTAAAAGCTCAGGTGACTCAGTGGAATTCTGCAGAGATATATTAAATTCCAACACTATTGGGCAAAAAAAAAAAAAAAACCAATCTAGGGACAGTGCCTATCTTAAGAAGAGGGCAGAGGAAGCCCGGTGCAGTGGTCTAGTGGCTAAATCCTTGCCTTGCATGCATGGGGAATCCCAAATGGGCACCAATAATGTGTTCTGGCAGTTCGTGTTGAGTCTGCTCCACTTTCCATCCAGCTCCCTGCTTGTGGCCTGGGAAAGCAGTAGAGAATGGCCCAAAGCCTTGGGACCCTGCACTCATAGGGGAGACCCAGAAGAAGCTTGTGGCTCTTGACTTTGGATTAGCTGAGTTCCAGCCATTGTGGCTACTTGGAGAGTGAACCAGGAGATGGAAAATCTTTCTCTTTGTGTATCTCTCTCTGTGTAAATCTGCCTTTCCAATAAAAATAAATAGATCTTGGGCCCGGCGCGGTGGCGCAAGTGGTTAAAGGTCCTCGCCTTGCACGCCCGGGATCCCATATGGACGCCGGTTCTAATCCCGGCAGCCCCGCTTCCCTTCCAGCTCCCTGCCTGTGGCCTGGGAAAGCAGTCGAGGACGGCCCAAAGCCTTGGGAACCTGCACCTGCGTGGGAGACCCGGAAGAGGCTCCTGGCTTCAGATCGGCATAGTATCGGCCCGTTGTGCTCACTTGGGGAGTGAATCATCGGACGGAAGATCTTCCTCTCTGTCTCTCCTCTCTGTATATCTGCCTTTCCAATGAAAAAATAATAAAAATAAATCTTTAAAAAATAATAATGATAAATAGATCTTAAACAAATAAAAAAAAATTGCAAGCTCCTTCAAAAATCTCTGTAGGTATCTGGAAAAGCAGTAAGAATTGTGGTGAGTGAATGCATGATGCCAGCTGATAGTTATGTTGCTCTTCCTGTTTTTACCTCTGGCTTAGGTTTCTGTTATCGGTGGGACTTATCTTGGTTTGGATTACATGAGTAAACAAAACGGAGGTGAAGGTGGCATCATTATCAATATGTCATCACTGGCAGGTAAGGGACTATTGAATTAGTAGTAAAGGTTTTTAACAATAATGTGAGCCACACAAGTAAATCATTACCCTCAAGTTTGAAATTTAATATATGTTTGATTTTATTTATGGTTCTATGGAATTTTACACTGCGTAATAACAAGATTTTGAACCATGTGCTAATTTGTTTAAGTTTTTCAAAGGTTGTTGTGACACTTGTAAGCATGTACTAGCAACTTTAACAAATTGAAAACTACTGAAACATAGTTAAGGGTTTCCCATTCCCATGTGAGCTTAGTAAGAGTGTGTCATTTTTGTAAAAGGCACGTGTGGTATCTGGACTATGTCAAAGCACTATAACCTATAGACACAAACATTTCATGGCTTAAATATCGTGTAAGGTTATTCCTCACTTGTAGTTGAGCCCATGGCAAGATTCTTTTTGCATATCCATCTTTCATCCTGTCAGCTAGAAAATCTGGCTGACATGAGGTCTTCATCTTTAACATGGAGTCCCCACAAGTATGATAAAGCTGACTCTGCCAGCAAGAGAAAATGGAAATGGAAGAGGCATAGACAGCTGCTCTGTTCAACTTCCATCCCAAGAGTGGTAAACTTCACTTCTGCTCACATTGCTGTGAAGTATTTGATGCTATGGCTCTCCTAACTGTAAAGGAGTCTGGAAAATTCTTTCTTGCTGTGTACCTAACAATGGATTTACTGTATAGTTAAGTGTCTTTGTTACAGCTCGTAACCCAAAACTGTTTTATTCAGAACAACTAATAACAGCTGATATCTTATTCTTCAATAGTAGCTATACATTTCTGACAAAATTTTTTACGGTAGTGAGCCAAATAATTTTAACAGTGTAGAGAGAAAATATTACCAATGGTGCTTGATGAATTCAAGTGAGATTGTGTGATTTAAGCAGTCTGAATAATATTGACAGTAATTCTAAAGTATTCATTGCCATGTGCATATAATGTATATGAACCACAAATAGCTTTTATATTAGACTTGAAACTTAACTCAGATATCTCAATATGTATATGTAAATGTCACAAAATTAAGACAAACTCAAAATTTGAAACATTTTCAGTTTGAAGCATTTCAGAAAAAGGATAAACTGTGCTGATTCCTTATTTTAGGATTAAAATATTTAAATATCTTATAATAATAATCAGCTATTGAGTGCTTAGTCTTTACCTGATACAATATGCATTATGAAGTGCACTGCAGGCATCATGTAATTTAATCTTCATAACACCATGTGAAGCAGACTATTTTCTCCATTTTGAAAATAAAAGAACTGTGGCAAGAAAGTGTAAGTATGCTACCCAAGTAAGCAATAGCCTGGAAGTTCACAGAGACAGTAGGAAAGAAGTTTCCTCTTAAACACTACATCGTCTATCTTTTCTGTAAATTATCTGTTCATCTCTCTTGCCATCTGTGTTTATCTCTGCCTAACAGGAGACTAGAAGAGACAAATGCTGTGACTTGAATGAACTAGTGCAATCTGCCAATTTCTTGAGACCTCCTGGGCATTGATTTAATCTCAGGGTTACATTTCTAAACCTTCATTGAGAACTGCAGCTTGTGTCCCATTTGGTATACACTGTGAAGTCCTGAAAACACCTGCAGAACTTGCCAGAGTCACAAGTCAAAACTTAATCTTAAGTCGCTGTGATGTGTGTGTTGCTTTATTGGTGGAAAACTTGCTTTGTCACTTGCTCTGCTTACACATCTCAGAAACAGCATTTGAAATCATGCGTGGGTCTTTACTCATGAACATGAAGCAATCAATTCAATAAATTCAGTGACAGGACTTTTGGGGTTTCAAATCACCGTTTCTAGCAGTGTTAACAATTTAACATCATATGAAGATCACAGCATTCCAAACTGTTTCTTCCACTTTTTTTCTTCCATTGTGCGAGGTCACCTCACTTGAGATGCTTTCTAGTTTCTCTTAGTCCAGTCTGTTAGGATTGCTGTCTTCTTCATGTCTGCTGGTCATCCCATCCTCTATGCCTAGCCTGTTGACATTGCTTCCTTGTTGCCACTGGCCAGTAAGGTCTCTGTTGCCTTTCTTTCCACCCAGAGCTTTCACTAACTTGTCTGTATTTCTCAGAGTGCTAAAAGAATGGATATATATATAAGAATGGATATATATAATGGATATATATATATATAATGGATATATATATATATCTTATTCACTAAAACTCTCTAATCCTTCCTGATGAGATGAATTTGATGAAAATCCAGGATATTTTAATAGTGGAAAAAGGCAAAAGAGAATCATTCACTCTGTCTTTATCAGTCTCCCAGAAGTGACATCACTAATGTTATACCAGTGATTCTGAGCATCCGGAAAGAGATGAGAGGACAAAAACCCTCTTAGAGGAGTTACTGAAGCACTGATAATGTTGACTTCCCTGATCTTTCCCAAACCTTCACTCCTCAAAGCTGACGATTGTCTTCAAGGATTAGCTGTGGATAATATTCAACTTAACCAGGCTCCAGCCTCATCATCCCGTGCATAGGCTTTGTAGAAACGCTCCCTGTCATAGTTAAAGCTTAAGTTGACACACTGGTTTGGGCAGAGAAGTTAATGAGTAATGGCCACTGACGCAGACAGAGTTTCAAATGCAATTAATAGATTTAACAAACAAGAGCAGTTAAAGTGGAGAGTGACTCCTCAGCGTATTGAGGGATGGGTGTGCTCCAGTCTGGAGCTCCAGAGATTGTTTCCATCATTTAACCACATGGACTGTTGTAGTATATGAGTTTTTGTGAATGCAATATACAAGCCTGCACTCATGTTGTCCCATCCATTCTCAATTGTTCAATGAAAAGACAGTTGGAAGGAACAACAGTGAGGAACACATTTTAGGTTAATGCAGATGTTTAGCCCATTGCCATCTCATAAGTGACTCCATAAGAGTAAAATTCTTTATAATAACCAGTTGCCAAGAACAGTGGAAAGAAAAAATAATTGTGACAAAGATAAGAAATGTGCCTATAAATTCTGCTCTGACCTGTCTACACATGCACTCCTTAGGTCTTGATGTTCCTTATGGACATTCTCTGCCTCAGAAACAAGATACAGAGTGACTTTTGTTTCTATTTTTGAGGATCTGATTTTTACAATGTAAGATAGTAGGATCTCAAGGAAACTCGAAAGATCAAATAATAGCTTAGCATGTTTTAAATAAGAGTCCACTTGTTGACTAATTTTTTTATCTGAACTAATTTATAAGTTGCATAAAGGTATAAGTGCTAAGATTTTCAGTTTAAATAACAAATTCAAATTATACATGCATTGAGCATTTTTAGGAAGAAAATGGAGATAAATAAAGGGCGATTGGGAAATAGTTTTCCTAGAATATCTCACTAGGATTAAACTGGGTCCTGATTCAGCTTCCGAGCATCACCAGTCCATTCTTTGACTCCGTGTTTGTTGAGAAGCCAGCCAGTCTGTACAAGGGTATTCTTTGATTGATAAAGAGTTTATCTCAGTTTCTTCTGGCCACAGTACAGGCAATGAGTAAACTTTCAAGGAGGACTTTGGTGGGACACTAGGACTTACTTTCTATAAAAACCACTGGCATGTATAATTGGATTTTTCTTTCTGTAAAGATTTTCCCATTAAAGAAGCTGTAGTAGCTATGAAAACTTATGTCACATCTTGATGTTATGTGACACTCTATGCCTTAACCTAATGGCAACAGTGAGAATGAGTGAAGGCAGCATCAGATAATGGTCCCATTTTGTGAAGTATAATACAATGAGGAAGTTTGTGTTAGTTTGATCAACTTTATATATGAATGTAATGAATAGATGCCAACTAATTGTTCATGCTTCCTCACATTAGGGAAGTGGTAATTAGACACACATGGGTAGACATTTTCCTTTCTGATGGCAGAAAAAAAATCTATGAGACTTTCAGGTTTTTTTCTTGTTGAGAAACTGCTGAGCATCAAGAATCGTCATCCTCAGATTCATATTCTATTTCCTGTAGCTGAAATATTTCTCATATTTACACTGCTTTACACATTTTTCTCCATTTAGAAGAAAACATATTTGTGGATCCATTATAGTTTCCCTTTCTTTATGAAGACATTTCAATTTTCCCACAAAACCTTTAGACCATCTTACGAGTCATGAGATGTGAGGTTCACTTGATTCTTAATAAATATAAGTGGACAGATAGAATACTAAGGATTTAAAAATTAACATGGAATTCAATTTAAATTTTATTTGTCTAAATGATTTATTTACTTCATAGAGGTATGAAATTTCATTTATTTTAATGTTATATATATGTAGATTTAGATAGTTATTTTAACAACCTCTGGCCCTTTAGTGCCAGTATCATGAGTGGTTTCAGGAAATATTCTTTTTAGGTGGGTATAATCTCTCCCCCTATTGGCTTTTTTGTAAACTTATAGTTATGACAGATATAAACCTGCTGCTTCTGCAAAGAATTTTTTTTTTGCATCTCTGGAAGTAAACTTGCATCATGGCACTCTTACAATAAATATATTGGACAATACTGTTAGTAATTCCTTTAGTGAGAGTGTAATTTTCCTGTGCTTATGGGAGTTAATTTACAAGATCTTTTTAAAAGACACATTCATTGTTCATTTTTAAGCTACTAAAATTCCCTCAGAAGTGAGAACTGACAGGTTTGATTATTCAACCTGTTAATTTCCAACCCAGAGTTCATCCTATTAAGTTTAAACATTCCAATGAAATATATTTAAAATTGAACTTCAATTAATTTGTACATAAATTAATAGAAATCATATTTTTACACATGTACCAGCTAAATCCATTTTAACTGCAGTCTGATCTCAAAGTTTCAGAAATCAAACCTAAATTAGTATATTATACTAGATTTGGGGATTTTAGTACAAAAGACACCATTTCATTAAAACATACACATAGATGAAAAGGTAAATAAGTCAATAAAATAATAGTTTCAGATATTTCAACTTAAAGGAAACAATTAACTTTAAG